CAGGAATCCTGGTTATCGTGGTCCCTCCTGAACAGAAAACAGCCCTGCAGAGATGATAAAACAAAGAAAACCTACCCTCAGTACGAGCCATGGTTATGAAGGTTTTGAGAAAGCCTGCCTGTTTGCCTGTCATGGACATGACCTGGATCCGAGACTTGACACAGTCCATAGGATACACCACCAGCCACAGGCATGCCCCTCCGAACCCACCGCTGAACACGATCGGAGCCGCACCTTCAATATGACACAGTAACACCTGTTGGGCTCTAACACGGTGGTGTGGGAGGTGAGTGGTAATATGTTTTAGATGGCTATTACAAATCCTTATTCATAAATACTAAGCCTTACTTCAACAATAACATTGGTAAGTAACTGTATAAGTCCAGACTTCGTGAATCTGCGAATCCATGTGTAGTTCATTTACCATTTCCCTCAAAGTACATCTTCTATTTCTACTACTAATTTTCCATACATGCTTCTCCACATACAGAGATAGTGCCTGATCTTTGGTGATGGATTTTGTCCATGTATACTATGCATTACAAAAAGTCGTTTTTTGATTCTGAGTTGACATATGAAGAAATATTTTCCGCTCTGTGGTAGTGAGTGCAGAATATTTGACTAGTACCTATGTCGTCCTTGCCACATTTCATGTAGTCCGCAAAGGCGGTGCGGCACAGCTCATAGGCGCCGAAGAAGCAGAAGTACCCTGGGACCTCTCGGGCTATAGTGGTGGTCAGGCCCTGGAAGAAGCCCAGCGGGCCCTCGTTCCTCACGACGGACTTCACCACAGACCATACTGTACTTCAGACCAAGCAGAGAGGTGTGGCTCAGTCAGTGCGTGCATGCGCGCGCACACATACACACACACACACACACACACACACACACACTACAATAGCATATATGCAGAATATTATGTCCTCATTGACAAAGAAATCCTTTTCAAGCTCTGCAGAAAAAAATGAATAAATAATTAAGGTTAGATTTGTTTCTATGTTGGTACAATATCCAAAAGTTCCACACTGGCAAATAACTCATCACAGTATGTGAAGGAAACCATGACTTTTAACTCTTCAAATGTTGATCTTTTTTAGGTTTTAGCACTAAATTATTAAATAACAGTATGTGGATCTTTGATTTAAACACTAAACATTTTCAATCAAACTGAATAATGGTAGATTAGCTGTATTAATTACTTGTTATTCATTAGAAACAGTCATTTTTTTCAGCATAAATTTACTTATCTACTAAATATTAGCCAGTACACAACCATAAAATCTGAGTGATGTAAATGTAAAGGACCCATACAATATTATCAAAAAATATGGGCCTATTTAAAAACCTCTTACTTATGGCTCTTAGTGATTTTGCCTGAAGCCTCCATTTCATACATGGCCTGCAGCCGACACTTGACAAGCTCAGTGGGGCAGAGTACTAGTGAAGAGAAGATGGATGCTACTGAGCCAGCACAGGCTTTCTGCACATCACTAAAAGACAGGGAAGGACAAACAAAGACAGTTAGATATCAGATGTGTTCGGGGTCGAGTTGGTTGAACGCTGCCCTACCTAAGCACGGCTTCACGGTGCAGTCCGGCTGTGAAGCGGATGATCTGTTGGCAGAAGCCGTAGCTCATGAAGAGCACAGAGTTCTCAGCGATGTTGGCCACCAGTGCCGGTGTGGTGCCCTGGTAGAGACCCCGGATACCCACTTGTTTGTAGGTGGAAACCATGCAGTGGATGAAACCCCGGTACAGCTTAGGAAAAGTCTGCATTTTGACCTTTGTCGTGTCTAGAGGCTGCCCGCTGAAGACACACGCAGCTCCCCCTTGGAAGAAGACAAGCAAGGAAACTATCAGAAACACACGTGTATTAGGTCACAGCGAGTAAGGTGTTTGGGAAAGCAGTGGAAAAGCAGCGTGACTGTTTCACAGCGATTATAACATGTACATGGTGTTTGTTTAGTGACTTTGAGAGACAAAGCACTGTAGTTACCTATGGCTCCAGCAGAGAGGTCAATGACGGCCTGGACGACCGGGTGTGGGGCCATGGTGTCCAAAACGTGGTCAGAGCAGATTTCTGTTTCTCTCAACTACCTAGGACAAAAACAAATAATGGCATGCTACCTCCTAGCTCCAGTCACATTAATCAAACCCAAGATAAAACCATGATTAAAATATAGTCCACATGGACAGTTAGGTTTAACACTGGCATGACTGAGTTATGACAGTTACACAGTGGTGCAACAGTGACACAAAACAAAGCAGTCCTTTGTTTCTTCCACTAATCCCCTGTGACAGTCAATGTGTGTATTTCACAGATATAAAGTGTAATAGTCCTAGTAAACTAAGAATATGCAAATACAACAACTGTCATTGTGCATGAATAAAGAAAACTGTATTTATAATGGGGCATGACCTTCTGAAAAGTACCATGAGTGAAAAGTATGGTTAAATTAATGTTGCTTGTAGGGGGCAAGAAATAAAATGCATTTAAATTATTAAGAAGGGGGGAAAACATGCAGGCCATTATAGAGACATTTTAAAAGTTAAAATCATTATGGGCTGCGTTTATTTATTATCTAACCAGTCGATAATATGAATGATAAGTCTGCATTAACAGTATCTGGCTAACATGTGGGTCTTTCTAAGAAGAAAAGCATAATTATATTTTACTTTGTCACTTCCATTTTTAACCTAAAACAGTTCAGACTTAACTGTGCCCTGGAAACAAAAAGACACATTACAACACTTTCCAATCAAAAAGCTCCTTTAGATCTTTTTTTTTAATTTGGCAACTGATAATAAATTTTAGTTCCTTTACTTCTACAAAACTACAGGTATTTCGGTTTCGGTGCTCCTTCCACTGCTGACGTCATATTGGGCCAAACATCCGTGCTTTTCCTAAAGGTTACCACCAGAAAGGCAAGTGAAACGTCACCCACACACGTAAGCTCTCACTGCTGCGGTAAAATGTTAAACATTGTTTTTCTTACTAGAGGTCACATGCGTTTCTGAGTTGTGTCGCAAAAACATCCATCGACAATGCTCGTGCTACAAGTAGGTCACGATCACGTCAGCAAACTGGTTCGGAGTTGCTTGTTTCCACATGAGCTGCCAGCCTAGATTATATCAGTGCAAAACCGAAACGGTTAAATGGATAATAATAATAGTTTCAACAGACAAACCTTACTGGTTCAGTTCGGGCATCAATGTGACGCTGCTAGTCAGGGAAAAGAGTGTGTGTTTGTATCAAACATATGTCCAACAGTGCGTCAAACAACTGCTGACCGGGCTAAGGACGTCCATGGGTGGCTGCATGCTAACGTAAAGCACCAGCCCAAACAGACAGTTTATCTTAAGGTTAGCGTTATCTCATGCACAACATGTACCCTGGTACTCAGTCACTGTGCATCTGTAAACCCCGACGTTCCGTTAATGAACGGATCAACCATCAGTGATAACGGTGTTGAAGTTGTGGCACGACATCTGAGAGGAGACAACACGAGGAGCTCCCACTCTGCTCGAAATTTCAGGTATCAGATCCGCCTTCCTACTCTCAGCAGGGCCCCTCTCTAACCTGTTTCCATAAGTAAATTAGCAATACGACAGTGTAAAAATATTCGGTTACAATCAAAAAGCCTGCCTTCAAAATGATACTTAAGTAAAAGTGCTTAACTGGGCCCTTTGCATCAAAATAGAGCCTACTTAATGTACCAAAAAGTAGCAATTTCATGTTAATGTTATATCATATTATTGAATTACTACAAATGCATTATTGTGTACGTGTACATCACATTTGGTGTTGCAGCTGGTAAGGCTGCTAACTATATATGCTCATAATTTGAATTACTGCTGGGTAGCATGTGAATATCCCACGGGGGATCAATAAAGTATTATGATAATAGCCTATGTATTTTATTTTCTTAATCTGACCCTTAAAAGTAACTAAAGTTATGAACTAAATGTACAGATGCCCAGTAATTGTACTTAAGTACAATACCTAAGTAAACACACCCGATATTTACTTTCCACCACTGTAGATGGAGATAACTCGTGTTTTTTAGTGTTTGTCTGATGAAAGCTCTAAAGCCTTCATTTATTGTTTCAGTATCAGAATCAGAATCAGCTTTATTGGCCAGATGTGTCGGACACACGCGGAATTTGACTATGGTACATCGGCTATGTATGATATATTAATGGAAATTTTGACTAGATTTAAATCCTCGTGTTTTCAATAACACAGTAATGTATCGTGAACTGAAAAATTTCAATGCAAAACTACACATTCGCTTATTATGCTTATGGTAGTTGGGACTACGAAACATCTTCCCAGTCTAAGATCTATGATATGAAGCGGAACGTGACAGCTTCCGGTTCACGTTCTTTTTTTTTCTTTTCTTTTTTTTTCAAAATAAACTCTCAACAGCAGGTACAGTGCTATAGCACCCCCTGGTGGTTGTTTGTTTTCCAAAAAATCCACTTAGTCCAGAGATCATGCACTACATCCCATGCCAAGTCGTTATGTTGTAAGTTGTGTATGTAAGTTAGTCTGTTGATTAAAAAATTTTTTGCAATGCTGTGTGCACTTTGCTGCAGAACCACACAAAGAAAAAAGCTTCAAATTTTAAGTAATACTTTTAGAGCATGGTGTGTGGTTCTCCCTTGCTTGGCAACAGTCAGTCCTCAAAACAATATCCAGGTTTTTATTAGTTTTCATGGGAACACCAGCCATATAAATGAGGTAGGTAACCTGCTGTGCACATATACACACTTTCACAGCAGATTAAAGGGAATTAAATGAATTATCATATTTCTAGATCATGGCAAACAACAGCACAGAGATTCAGTTTTATAAATTATCTGTACTACATCAGGTGCGGTTAAATCCTACTTTACCTTTTGTCAGATACGTTTGATCCAACTCATAAGCTCTATATAAAGGTCACGGTGCAAATATGATACATTGTTTTTCTTTGGCAGTGACACTAAAATCTGTCTACTACAGACTAGTCCACTAAAATCCCTGTTTAATATACGTACAGTCATGTGAAAAAATTAGCACACCCTTTGAAAGCATGTGTATTTTGTAACATGTTTTAATATATGGTTATTTAATCTCAATTTTAACAATACAGAGAGATTAAAGTAATACAACTAAACAAGTAAAACTGAAGAAAAGTCTTTTCAAGATCTTCTGTAAATGTAATTCTACAAAAATGCCTATTCCAACTGAGGAAAAAGTTAGCACACCCTAGCCCCTAATAGCTAGTGTTACCTCCTTTGGCTGAAATAACTGCAGTGAGACGGTTCTTGTAGCCATCTAATAGTCTCTGACATCGGTCTGAGGGAATTTTATCCCACTCCTCAATGCAGAATTGTTTCAGCTGTGAGATGTTTGAGGGGTTTCTTGCATGTACAGCCCTTTTCAAGTCACCCCACAGCATCTCAATGGGATTCAGGTCTGGACTTTGACTCGGCCATTCCAGGACTCTCCATTTCTTCTTTTTCAGCCAGTCTTTAGTTGATTTACTAGTATGTTTTGGGTCATTGTCATGTTGCATGGTCCAGTTCCGCTTCAGCTTTAATTTTCTAACCGATGGTGAATTAATTTAGCCAACAAGTACATCAAACATCCAAACATCTGATTTGTATAAATAGAGGAACTTCTCAGAATGTGCTGTTCTCAATCAGATCTGCCCTGGTACTTTGTTCTCACAGCTTTGTGCATAATTACCTTAATATATTAGGGGTGTGTCTGTCTGACAGTACACTCTCTTCCTAACCAAATCTCCATGAAGCTCAAGAATGCATATGCTCAGTCATCTTCTTCTGCAGTGCTGTCTGTGCAGGATGTTTATATAAGGTCACAGTAATATTAGGAGTTTCTTGCATCCTGATGTATATGCCCACTGATAGTTACATAACAAAGAAATGTAACAAAGTGTACTTTTTAACATGTTGTTTCTCACCTGCATTTTCTGTAATGTTACTTTTTATTGAGTAAAAACAAAGAGTTCTTCTAAATAGATGTGATTCAGCTGTTGATGAAGCTGTTTGATTCTAACCAGGAGATGTGATGTGTTAATCCACAGACAACTGAAACAACAGCACTTCCTCTCGCTCCTAATTTTAACGTTATCGATTTAATGCCCTTATCGTCTTGAGGGAATGGATAATTTCAAAACCAAAATCTGAACTTGTGTATTGAAAATGACACAGCTAACAAAGGTCGAAACAGCCAATCAGCGAAGTTCTTTTCCTCCTGGACTTTTTACCACCTCTTCTAGAATAAATAGGATTTATAAATTGTGTTTTTGTGTTGTGTTTGGAGGAAAATCAAAGGCACTAGTCGGCGGTGAGCTTTAGAAAAACAGCATTCAATCTTTTGTATGTTGATGCTTTGTAGTTTCTTCTTAACTCAACTATTAATTACAATTAATCTGTAATAAACTACTTGTGTATAATTCTGTTCACCTTTAGATTAGTGATATAATGAAAACATGTTAGCTAAGCAAAAGAACAGCAGCAAAGCCACTCTGTTGTTTTTCCCCTTTGAACTGAAATGCGGCCATAAAACCATCTGTTTAAACAGAGTAGCCTGGGATTAAATCCATGTGCCTGCTGTCCTTAAAGGCTCAGACTTGCAGTGGCTTACAGCACCCGAAACTTGACTACCTCTCCAGTTCAGACATACAGACAATAAAACACGCACGTTTTTTCTTTTTTTTAATATCATTTTGCCTTTTATCAAAAAAAGAAAAGAGAAACATTGACGTTGTCTACATCACAGACAAGAATCATCAATATTCTGTGTTGAACAATTTTGCCATGAACAGAATGAACCCCATGCCCTTCCCTCCCCAGGAACACACTCCTCTATACACAGTATACTTTACATACCTAGAATTCCCATTCAGCCTTTTTACATTGTACATCATTATCAAAGTAGTATTAATAGCTTTAAAATACATACAATTCTCTTTCCATTGTATTGATAATTGCTATCCTGATTGTATATGCAGTATCATTTCCCACAGTTAGAGTCTGCTGAGCGATTTATGCACCCTGCTTTCAATGACATGTTACAGAGTATTCTAATGAGACAACACGAGTCTCTGCATTTCACTAAAGCAAAATACTTAGCAGATTAGTGAGGATTTGTAGATGAGAAGCATTTTCATGCAACCGCAATGTGTCATGAGAACGCAAACGCTGCAGAGAGACTCACGCCGGGTAAAACAGTTTTGAATATATAACACATTAAATGACATTTATCCAAATCCACAGCTTTTTTTCCCTACTGATTGATGCTAGTAATATCACAAACCTATCTCAGACTCTCCGAGGGCCTTTTATACCAACTGTTAACATCTGCTCGGACATGAGATTGTGAGATACAGTGTCTCTCTCTTTCTGTAATCCCCAATTAGAAGAGTGATACCGAATGAATAACAAAGAGACTATAAAAGATCACCTCAATGAGAGTAACACAAGAGTACCCGAAATCCAAAAAGTGGAACTAGTCCAGGTATGTGAATGAATTTGTTCTAGAAGTGTTTGACAACAGCGTTCTCAGTATTGAGTACAAATTATTGACTGTGCTCAATCAACACGCGTTTTATGGGTTTAAAAACAGTGACAAATGTGTAAAAAAAAAAAAAAGATTTTTTAAATTAAAGCTTGTATTATTTTGGTGTGAACCAGAGCCCCATGAGAAAGAAAAGCTCAGTCTAAATGTGGGAAAAGCTACTTGCGTCAAAAATACATCAAGATAGCCTTCTTAGTTGGTACCCTGTATACACACAGCCAGAGCCCTGGATATAAGAGTTTGGTCACTGCACTTAGTTTGGCATCACAACACCATATCCAGTAGACATTTGATTTATATTTTGCTACCAACACGTCCTGATTCAGTGCACAGTATCACTAATGTCACAACATGGCCAAACTCTCAATCAGTAGCTCTGGAAACAGTACGCAACCAGTCAGAAACTAGAAGTCACACTACCTTAAGAAAAACACTGACTTAAAAAAAAAAGTTTGACTCCATTTACACCTTAACAACCCATTTTTAGCCAAGTGGCTATCAAGTGAAAAAGTGATTTTTTTTTTTTTTTAAAAATCAGATCTTTGATTTGTGTGTCAACAAATGATCTTTACAGCAGACTTTTGAATTGTTGCTAGACTTTGTATTATTTGGCAACTTCTTTGACAGCAGCAGAATGTAATT